CAACTTCTTGTCTTCATCTCGGAGTCTCTCCACGGCCCGGAGAACCTTTTCCCGGTGATGTGGGGTGAAGACACCGATGGCATCCAGGTCAGGGTCTCCTATCTGTTTGCACACCTCCAGGTCATCATAACCATTGTCAACAAATGACTCCACATACTGACACAGCTGGAGGGTTTTCAGCCACTCGTAGACAATGGTGGGTCCGTTGTCCATCATTCCCAAATCAGAGGACATTCCCAAAGTGCATAATATAGCCTAAATTCTTCCCATCTCAAGTGCTATAAACATCAACACACACTGGCAGTCCCTCAATAGTAAGCAAGACTTTCCAGTGCTGAATTCACTAATAAAAGGCAAGTGTTACATGGCTAAACATATGAAGAAATACTAAATCCCAAATCATTTTCTTTTCAGTGCAAACATTAAAAAAAAAAGTTTATTATTAGTATTTACCTTAATACTTTGATAACCTGTCGTGTCATATCGAATATGAAATGATACAAGGTTTAGCATATGATAATCCCCTAGTACAAGTCTATATTTTGTCATATATCCAGTCTCACAGCGTTCGAGCTGGTTTCCTCTCAGCAGATACACTTTATTCCTCACAGCATCAGACTGTCACAGGACACACGCCGTTTGTATCCAGTGTCGGCGAGTCGCTTTCTTCCGCGGCTCGGTTTATTTTCCATTGATCTGATCCTTTAATAAACAAGGGAAAATGACTACAAAGAAGATGCGGCTTCTGCTGTGCTGCGAACCAGACAGACTGAGCGAGTCGAACTGATTCAACCGAGCGCCAGACGCCAAATTGAAGTTTCCCTCCCCTTCATTCTGATGCGCCTTTCGCACTAGCTGCTGTTTAATTTTAGAGCCCCCTGCAGGCCGTATGAGGAACTGCAGCGCTATTTGTCTGCAGTCATTCCCAGAGAGGTGGAAGTTTAATAAAAAATTTTTTTAAATGACTAAAAAACAAAAAACGTCCATTTCCGAGATTTTTTTGATGTTTTTTTTAATTTGTAAGGCATTATCAGTCGCCCAAATAGCCTAATATGAAAGAACACACAGGCACAATTATTATTATTATTATTATTTATTTTTCAGTTTTAGCTGCAATTTAAACAAATTATATTGTTTAAAAATACCTTGTCTATAAATAGTACATTTGTACTCGGATAAATAAAAATAAGGGTTATGGTAACAATTTGGTAGAGAGAATTATCATAACTGTTATTACATAATTGTTAAATCAATGATTTATTGATATTTAATGTTAGCTTTAAATCAATTCTGACACTTGTTTGCTTTGATTAGGCATCTTATATATATTTATATGTATGTTAGTCAGTTAGTGTGTGTTTTTCTGCTAAATATATATATTTAAAAAAAAAATTATAGACACCTAATCAAAGTGTACATGTGATATATATGCAATGTTTCTGGTTTCTATTGAGATTATACATTTATTTCATATATCTATCTAAACGGTCAAATAAGAACTGGAAACATTGCATATATAATGATTCTTTCATAATTAAATTATAAAACTAATTAAATTGTTAAATCAGTGATTTATTGCTATAAAAAACCTTTAATGCAATTCTGACACCTCTTTTTTTGCTTTGATAAGGCTTCTATTAAAATATATATTATGTATATTTTAGAAACATAGATTCATAAATGTATATACATGCATATGCTTCTGGTTTCTATTCGGATTATACATTAACGTTCTATTTCATATTTATTTTAAATGGAAAAACAGATCAACCAAGGTTATTATTTCTTTCAAATTGAGAGTTCTAGTTGTAAAACCGTGACATCTAGTGGTCAAAGTATGCAAAAAGAAGTGTGGAATCAAAACAGCTGTAAATAAAGCTTTCTGTTACATTTATTTTCCATTGCACAGTTATGTCTATAAACATGTTTCCTAAACTGTTGGGTGGCAGCAGATAAAGACAAACATTCATGTGAAAGTCTGAATAATAAAACTGTACAATAAGTCGGCTATGATGAGAAAGCCTGCAACCCCCACGAAGAATCATCAACCCCCAAACCGACCCTTTTCAGGAGAATTTTCTGTTTTATGGAGCGCAGCTTTGATGGTCAGGGGAACTCAAATAACAATGCTGAGAGTATACTATCAGAAAAAGAAAAAAATAATCTCGCCTTCATAATCATCAATAATAGAGAGTAAATACATTACTGACAGTACATCTGACTAGCAGGACGAAAGAAGAAGAGACAAAATGTAACGTAGATTGATGTTTCAAGTTTGTAAACACGATATCATGCTGCCTTTTGTGCAAGAGAAATCAGAGGACGCACAGTACACAGAGATGGCCAGTGATTTCAGAGATTCTCCAGGTCGGCTTTCCCTCTTCCACAGACGACCAAGCAGATGGCTCACAAGAAAAGCTTTCATGTTTGATTCAGTGAGAATATATACACAACCAATTTTTCTTTAAATGCGCCCTTTCATTTCAAACAATATAATAAAAGTATTCATTTGTAAATGAAAAGTAAATTATGTATATATATATATATATATATATATATATATATATATATATTTCAAATGTATAAATATATTAGAATATCATTAAACTGGCAATGGGGACAAATCTGAGAGTGTGAGCCACATTTACACTAGTATCCCTCTAATTTTGGTCCTTCTTAAAGAAACAAAATGTCCAAAATAAACAATGCCAACTACAGAAATATTGATAATAAAATGACGTCATTATAATATAAAACATATAGTGCAAAACCACACAACTGCTCATAGAAAAGAAAAATATATGAAGCAGAGAAGCTGGATTAGATTTTCAGTTGGTCAACTCAATCTTGGTAGGTATTTACACAAACACCATGGCAACAGAAGGAGTAGTTTGCTATATGTCTATCTATCTATATATATATATATATGTGTGTGTGTGTGTGTGTGGAGATGCTATGACACTTGTTTTAAATTGTAAGGAACAATCCTCTCCTCCCTGTGAGATCAACTTTCACAGCAAAGCAACTCTTTGGAGTCTAGTCGGATCATGGCCACCATCTTCAGTAACTTTGACTGCATCAGCACTCTCAAGTTTGTCTTCAAAAATATTAATATTTACAACATTTTGGCAGCAATGTGATGAACAAAAAAAAAATAACAAAGAAAAATAACAGAAAAGCCTTCATGGAATAGTTCACCCAAAAATGAAAATTTTCTGAAAATGTACACATCCTCAGCTCATCCCAGATGCAGACGAGTTTGTTTCTTCATTGGAACAGATTTGTAGAAATGTAGCATTGTATCACTTGCTCACCAGTGGATGCGCTGCAGTGAATGGGTGCCGTCAGAATGAGAGTCCAAACAGCTGATAAAAACATCACAATAATCCACAAGTAATGCACACCACTCCATCAGTTAACATGTTGTGAAGCAAAAAACTATGTTTGTAAGAAACAAATCCATCCTTCTGGATGAAATATGAGTCTGTAATTTCGCTTTTTCCAGTGAAAAACATCGTCTCGTCTGAATCAGGAGAGAAATATGCACAGATCAAGCACCATTTACGAGTGAAAGTTCAGAACAGTTCTAGACAAACATGTCAGAGGATTTTCATGTGAGAAGACAACAGGGGATGGACTTTTTAACTGGAGGAAGCATTATTATGGACTCATATTTTGGCCAGAAGCGATGGTTTATAGTTAAAACACTTTAAAGATGCATTTGTTTCTTACAAACACGCAGCTTTTCGCTTCACAAGATGTTAACTGATGGACTGGAGTGCTGTGGATTATTGTGATGTTTTTATCAGCTGTTTGGTCTCTCATTCTGACGGCACCCATTCACTGCAGAGGATCCATTGCTGAGCAAGTGATGGAATGACACATTCCTCCAAATCTGTTCCCTTGAAGAAACAAACTCATCTTGGATGGCCTGAGAATGAATACATTTTCAGCAAATCTTCATTTTTGGGAGAGCTAATTCTTTCATATGCCTGATAGAAAAATAACAAGCGTCAACAGATTTGACAGATGCTCCTAATTTTAAACACAAATAGCAGCAATTTCTTGCACCTCATAAATAAGAAAACACACTTAAAGAAAACATCTCAGCATATGCTTTCAAATATATTGTATCTTTAGTTTATATAAACGTGAGCATACACATATTCTTGCATACATGTATGTTCACGAACACATGTATACGCACACGAGGCGAGGTTAGCATATATTCATGGGTCGCAAAGCAAAGGCAGAAGGTAACGCCCTCTGGATGACACATCCGAGGGCTGCTGATCGAGAGTATGGAGCTGCATTGAACATTTAGTGGTCACCTCCACTGCAGCAACAAACACAGAGATAGATATATTCACCTCTCTGTGAGGATGACAAACTCATGCATTAGTCCATCCGAAAAGGCTTCTTAGAAAATACAGAGAATTCCATTCGCCGTGTACTTAAAGATGAGGAAGTCACCAGGTACTGTACTGAGTCTCGCATAAGCCTCGAGATTTTCTTGTCCAGGAGCAGTTGCATCATGGGAAATAAGAAAGAGGAACCTGTTTTGCATATGAAGAATCAGTACTCTCGGCACATTCCACCGGTGTCCCTCGTATCCGGTTTCTGCCATGTCAATCATCACAAGGCACATAATCAAGATCATGCCTCACACTTTCCAACTCTCACTCGCGCTCCTTCATAATAAAAATAACCTGACCAAAATAACCAAAGAAAATGTACGCACTCCAGATCTCTGTTTGTAGATAACCAGCACAATTAAGCAGTTATTCACCTGCGTGAAACCTTTTAAATGCACGTCTGGGTCATATTTGAGCCAGATATGGGTCAAATCTGACCCCCTCCCAAAAAAAATCTGACAAATTAGAAATTATTGTTTGTTTACAGAAAATGAAAGCTATTTTTTGCACTGTAATTAATTAGGCACATTGTTATTCTGTAATGCAAAAAGAAAAAAAAAGTTAATTTATATATATATAATATAGTACATCAAAGTCAGAGCTCTTCCCTAAAAGCTCTTTTGAGACCTGATCAGTGTAAACCAATATGACGAAACAATAAAATGATGCATGATCAGATCAGCTTCGCTGCCTAGGCCTGTCTCCAATTTCATATGGCAAAATAATCACATGATATGTGATAAATACAGCAACTTCCAGCCCTTTAGAGGTTAAATTAAATGATACTTCATTATACCTTATGTAAGACAATCTGGCCTTTTCCATAGCTAACATGATTACTAGGTGAATCTCATGAAATCTAGTTATGCTTCAACCTAAAATCAAAATGTATGTAATATTTTGCTTAAAGAACACACCTGCCTCCTAAAAATAGGTTTTCTTTATGCAAAATATTGATTTTGGGGTGAAATATTACTTAGACTAGATTCATCCCAATTCCAAAAACAAGAAAAAGCACTAATTTCCTAAATTATATCACTAGACATGCAGCTTATTCTTGCGCTAGTGACAGATTATCAGAAGCATTAAGCTTGGCAATGCTGCAGATGTTAGACCTTCTTTAGTCAGCTCTATGTCCTTCTGACCCATTTCATTCATCTTAAATCTTTCATTTCCCAAAATGTCCTTTTTGTAGTTTCTTTGCAGATAGAATGGCAGTGAAAATGACAGCGTGGCGGATGAAGGTATAAGACGGGGCAGCACCGGCGAAGGGCCTCCTCTCCCAAGACAAGATCCACGGCTTTGTTTTCAGGAGAGGAAACTCAACTGCCACCGAGAAGGGAAGGAAATCCCATCCTGATGCCTTTCACCTGTCCTGTTCCTTCCCCTCCTGTCTCCTCTGTCTCTCCGCAGCTCCTCAGCTCGAGGTAATGCCACGTGACGGTGTGCTGAGCGAGAGTGGCAGTCTCTTGACATCACAGAGAGAGAAAGATACAGGAAGAGAAGGAAGAGACGGAGGAGAGATGATGGATCTGCTGTCTTCATAGGAGGGTGTGCTGACCTCAGAGCTGGTACCACTTCTTGTCCTTGTATTTCAGCATTATCTGGTGAAGAAAGATAGATTACTTGCTATGAAAAATTATTCAACACAAATATCATTGTTTGACAAAGAATACGGCTGCATCTCAAAACCTAAAGAGCTTCCTACCTAGACAGAAATTTTTGGACATCAATAGCAATGAAAAGTCCTGATTCTCAACCAAATATTAGTCCCACCAGGATTTCTTTCTGATTTTTGTGGCCTAAAATGACTGAATTTTCTGAAGCTTTACACAACAATTGCAGCAATATTTGTGCCATTTTCTGTTATTTTTGCAGTGGAATTAAAAAAAAACAAAAAACACTCTAATTATATACTATAGATTTTAAATGTTATAAATTATTATTTCATGTTTTTACAATTTAACAGTTATATCATTGTCTATTGCGTTTAATTAAAAAAAAAAAATTTAATGAACTCCAATCATTCATAAATAGGGCGCTCGTGCACACTCATTCACAATTAGCATAATCCCCGTCTATGAATTACAGCTACGTAAATTGCGTGTCCAGGAACGCAGTGGTATATTCTGGTCTACTTTCTCAGGTTTGGCTCCAGAATATTGCATAAATGCAAAAAACACTAATAGGCCATATGCCTAACAATAAATATTCAATAACATGTGTCCACCAAAGCGTTTTTAGCTAGCTGAAAAACTGTCAGGCGCTCTTCTTAAAACGGCCAGCTGGTGGTGCTGGAGAACGATTTGGTGGCACAGCGTTTTTCTAGCTGAGACTCTTTGGTTGCTATGATTTGAAATATCCACGGCATATCCACGGTATCTCATTTTGAAGAATATTACTGAATATAAAAATGCCAGCAATATTAACTTCTCTACTGTTGTTTAGTTGTTGTACAAGTAGTATGATTGGTCGCGTGTAGGATTTGTCCCGCACCTCCTCCATTGATTGGACGGCTGGGTAAAACGTGACGGCTGCGTTTTACCCAAAGCTAAACAGTTTATCAACTCTCAGCTACAAAAAAAAAAAAAAAACATTACAATAAAAATTCTGGCCCAACGACCTTGTAAAATATTATAACGGCAGTTTGTCAATGTCATCAGTTTGCCTAAATGAACACAGAACGTTTTACGCACCATTTACACGTGGTAGGGAGCAGGTGTAAATTTCTTTCCTACCAACTAACATTTTGAAAATACGAACATTTTCATGAATTCGACTGTTTACGTCAGAACGGCTTTGCGAACGATTTACATAAAAATTTGTTCTGCTCGTGTTTCATGAATGAGGCCCATTGTTTGCAGTAGGGCTGCCCTCGACTAAAGATTTGTCTGGTCGACTAGTAGTCGTTCATTTTAAGCATTAGTCGACAAATCTCAACTAATAAACCAGTCGACTAATAAACCATTTAAATCATGCTAATGTTCTGTAAGTAGTATGCCTTTGTTGGTGTAAAAAATGAGCTGCTTTTATCCGCAATGTTAATTAGTAATTTTACACATGATAAAAACGTGCAGTTAATTTGCTTGGAAAATACTTGCGAATACGGCAGTCATAAAAAAAACGTACAGTAGCCCAGCTTAATAATAATTTGTCTATATTAAAAGTATTGCTCTTAACAGACCTGTTTGTTTTGTATCACTAGTGCAGTGTCCGTTCTTGGAGCATATAAGCCCTGCGCTTATAAGGCGCTTGTAAGGCGCGCTGCTCTGTAGTTTATTAAAAGTTTATTAATTCTGAACGTGTCGCGTGTCCATATTGCACCAAAACGCGACACTGCACTCCCTTGGGTCCGCAGCAACACACCCGCCACGTGTGAAGTCGATTGGATGAATGGTTCTCCACATAATAAAAATGCAAACAGACAGACAGACACACAGAGATTCCTGCCTTTTAATACACCGTGTCTACACCGGATGCGATAGTTGTAGTGTTGCGCCGCAACAGCTAAAGTCTGTCTACACTGCACGCAACAAAGCGACCATTGAAAATCATTTGAAATTTGTGTCAGTACATCATAAATAGAACGCAGCAGTAGTTTACTGTCGGGAATTTGTCGTGCCACGCCGCATCCAGTGTAGACACGGTGTTGAGAGAAAAATATGTTTAGCCCCCTCCCTCCGAAGCTTCAAATATTCCGGTTTTGATTACTACCGAAGCTTCGAAGCTCAAAAAATGGTATGCGGACCAGCCCCACTATAGATATATTTTTAATGTCTGTAAGGCAAGTATACACGGAGTTTCGCGCTCAAGTTCACAGAGGCTGAGACGGCAGAAAGCGCATCCTTCATTATTTTACAAAAGCACAATGTTTTGTTGTTATTGTGAGTGCACACAAATAAACGTAGAGGCTTTACAGATTCGAAAGATGTATTACTCTGATCTGTATGACAAAAATGAATATTTTAAGAGCAAGTGACCGCACCGGTCATGCTGTGAGTGCGCTACTGTTTAGCTTTCACACTCCACACAAACACTTGAATAGCGCACATTTTTCTAGGTTAACATTAGATTGAGCAGCCATTTAAAGTTCCTACTACTAACATATTTCAGATGATAAGCCATTTTTGAGGTCGATGAATGATATACAGTGGGTACGGAAAGTATTCAGACCCCCTTAAATTTTTCACTCTTTGTTATATTGCAGCCATTTGCTAAAATCATTTAAGTTAATTTTTTTTCCTCATTAATGTACACACAGCACCCCATATTGACAGAAAAACACAGAATTGTTGACATTTATGCAGATTTATTAAAAAAGAAAAACTGAAATAACACATGGTCCTAAGTATTCAGACCCTCTGCTGTGACACTCATATATTTAACTCAGGGGCTGTCCATTTCTTCTGATCAGCCTTGAGATGGTTCTACACCTTCATTTGAGTCCAACTGTGTTTGATTATACTGATTGGACTGGATTAGGAAAGCCACACACCTGTCTATATAAGACCTTACAGCTCACAGTGCATGTCAGAGCAAATGAGAATCATGAGGTCAAAGGAACTGCCTGAAGAGCTCAGAGACAGAATTGTGGCAAAGCACAGATCTGGCCAAGGTTACAAAAAAAATTCTGCTGCACTTAAGGTTCCCAAGAGCACAGTGGCCTCCATAATCCTTAAATGGAAGACGTTTGGGACGACCAGAACCCTTCCTAGAGCTGGCCGTCCGGCCAAACTGAGCTATCGGGGGAGAAGAGCCTTGGTGAGAGAGGTAAAGAAGAACCCAAAGATCACTGTGGCTGAGCTCCAGAGATGCAGTCGGGAGATGGGAGAAAGTTGTAGAAAGTCAACCATCACGGCAGCCCCCCTTGTCTATATTAAAAGTATTGCTCTTAACAGACCTGTTTGTTTTGTATCACTAGTGCAGTGTCCGTTCTTGGAGCATATAAGCCCTGCACTTATAAGGCGCTTGTAAGGCGCGCTGCTCTGTAGTTTATTAAAAGTTTATTAATTCTGAACGTGTCGCGTGTCCATATTGCACCAAAACGCGACACTGCACTCCCTTGGGTCCGCAGCAACACACCCGCCACGTGTGAAGTCGATTGGATGAATGGTTCTCCACATAATAAAAATGCAAACAGACAGACAGACACACAGAGATTCCTGCCTTTTAATACACCGTGTCTACACCGGATGCGATAGTTGTAGTGTTGCGCCGCAACAGCTAAAGTCTGTCTACACTGCACGCAACAAAGCGACCATTGAAAATCATTTGAAATTTGTGTCAGTACATCATAAATAGAACGCAGCAGTAGTTTACTGTCGGGAATTTGTCGTGCCACGCCGCATCCAGTGTAGACACGGTGTTGAGAGAAAAATATGTTTAGCCCCCTCCCTCCGAAGCTTCAAATATTCCGGTTTTGATTACTACCGAAGCTTCGAAGCTCAAAAAATGGTATGCGGACCAGCCCCACTATAGATATATTTTTAATGTCTGTAAGGCAAGTATACACGGAGTTTCGCGCTCAAGTTCACAGAGGCTGAGACGGCAGAAAGCGCATCCTTCATTATTTTACAAAAGCACAATGTTTTGTTGTTATTGTGAGTGCACACAAATAAACGTAGAGGCTTTACAGATTCGAAAGATGTATTACTCTGATCTGTATGACAAAAATGAATATTTTAAGAGCAAGTGACCGCACCCTTGACCAGTGAGTGCGCTACTGTTTAGCTTTCACACTCCACACAAACACTTGAATAGCGCACATTTTTCTAGGTTAACATTAGATTGAGCAGCCATTTAAAGTTCCTACTACTAACATATTTCAGATGATAAGCCATTTTTGAGGTCGATGAATGATATACAGTGGGTACGGAAAGTATTCAGACCCCCTTAAATTTTTCACTCTTTGTTATATTGCAGCCATTTGCTAAAATCATTTAAGTTAATTTTTTTTCCTCAGTTTTTCTGTCAATATGGGGTGCTGTGTGTACATTAATGAGGAAAAAAAAATTTACTTAAATGATTTTAGCAAATGGCTGCAATATAACAAAGAGTGAAAAATTTAAGGGGGTCTGAATACTTTCCGTACCCACTGTACGTTTGGATATACTGTATTACCACAAAATCCAGTCGTTAACTATCTGTCCATCATGGACTGCGTGACCTCGCCACTTCCTGTGGATTTTTTCTTTCTGCGACTAATACAATTTTGGTCGTCTTCGTCGACTAAAGGTTAGTCGACTAGGGGGCAGCCCTAGTTTGCGGTGTATGATTGCATTCAATTCTGAGATTGCAGAATCCTAGAGGGACTGAAATGTGCTCACTAAGTTTTGAAACCTGTGTGTCACTATAAAAAGCAGCAGTCGTGGTGATTTGCAAGTGATCATCTCACATCATGCGCATGTTTAGAGAAGGAGTCTGCGCTGGCCATCATGCCTGCAGTCCTCTCCTCCAGCTCGCCTAGTTTCTGTCCTCTCTCATCCAGAGCTATCCTCGCCCGTGCCAATTCTCCCACCACACCGGACGCAGCCCCCTTCATGCCCTCCATACCACCTGGACCCGGGATGTGCTGCGCCAGGCTGCGTGACGCCTTACCAGCAGTCACCTCTCCGACTGTAAGTGAGAACAAACATGAGGGATTTAACTCCGTGTCAGTATACATTTTTCAAGCAAGTACAAATTCTAAATAACACATACTATCATCCCTTGTTAAGTCACAGCAGAAACTGAGAGCTTGTCTACCTTTTATTTGTGATAACCACTGAGGTAAGTGTGCGTTCACTTCTTTTGCATCTCATATTTTGTTTCACTTTTTGATGAGGGAGTAGTCTATATGGTGCATCCTTTAACATACTTGTATGTAAAATGATTATTATTATTTTTTAATAATAGTGCTGAAATGTTTTTGTGATATTCATTATACTGTTCTTCTCTATACCACACTTAAAAATAAAGATTCTTTATTGTCATCAAGAGCCTCTAACATCCAAGGAAACTTTCCATTTCACAAAATGTTCTTTATATTGAAAAAAAGGTTCTTTAGATTATTCTTTAGATATGTTCTTCCCACTTTTTAAGCGTACTGTACATTGAAATGTTTTTATATTAAACATTTGAAACGTTTGACTGATTGAAAACTGTACAGATGTCAGACAAAAAATGATAAACAATCAGATATAATTTTTGATCACTTCTACTATTTAAGCAAAACATATTAACACTTACACAGGTCTTCTCTGTCTAAGGACTGAGCCCCGCCTCCAAATAAGCCCTTGAAGAAGCCTCGGTTTGGAGCCTCTGGTGTCTCCACTGGAGTAAACAGCTCTCCAAGCATCTCCTGCAAAAATGAGCACCTCAGAATAAAAGTCAAAATATTTCAAGGTCAAAATGTCAAATTTGGCCAAAATGCAACAAGTTTGCAGGTATGATAAAATATAATTCAACCTGCAGGTTATCACAGGTTTCCTGGCTATAGGTGATTCTTTGGATCTCAGTGGGCGATGTGAGGTACAGGGCTTGGCCTTGGTTTGAGAAACAGAAGGTTCTGGCTATCCTCATGTCCGTCAGGGGAAGGTAGTTTACATCCAGTAGTGGCCGCAGGCTGGGCAAACTGAAAACAGATGGTTTATAGACTTATAAGTCAAAAAACTAAATATTCAATGGCTTTGAATATCAGGTTAATCATGTTACCTGAGAGTCATAATGTGGCCATTGGCACAGAAACAGGCGATGCCGACCCCTGCGGTCAGTGTCACCATGTCGGCTCTAAGTACGAAGGAGGTCTCTGTGATGTTGTGTTCATAGACACAGTTTTGGGAGGGCAGCGCCACCACCTTAGCCTGTTTCTCTGAGCAGACCACGGCGTACTGACAGTCCGGGTTCTCCTGAGAAGGAGGCGAGGTGGGCCGGCGTCTCCGTGGCCGTTCTTTCTCCTCCTCAGGGGCGTTGGGCTCATACCAGGACTCGTAAACGTGGGGCAGAAGGGTCCCGCTGGCATCCAACTGGGCCATACGCAAAATGCCTCCCTTCAAGCGCACTACTGGACCTGTGATGACGGGAAGTCAAGTTCACAATGCACATTGTTTTAAAGCAGCTTTAAAATCATGATGTTAATGTTTATAATATCTTCATGCCTTATGATCACATTTAGCATATTAGGCAGTAATACGGTTACATTTTGCTATGATACAAGCAATTAAACAGTTGAGATTTGCTATATAATGCATTGCCTTACATGAGAATACTATACGCATGCAGATAAAGTTGGACATACTTCTATATCCAACTTTATATAGCTTGGCGATAATATAGTTACATTTTGCGACTATATAAACAATCACATAGCCAACAATTGCTGCATAACACTTTACGTGGGTGTGTTATATATATATATGCAAATAAAGTTTAATATACTTATATATCCAATTTATTTAAAGAGCTGGGTGATAATATAGTTACATTTTGCGAGATTTGCTATATTGTATTTATTGCTTTACGTGAATGGTCTCTTTTTCCATTAGCAGCTGTTTCCATCAAAGTTCCGAAATTTATTTAAAGCTGTTAATGTAACTTTTCTAATGTAAAAAATTGAAATACTGCATAAAATATTGTTGGGGGTAACGCATTACAAGTAACGCGAGTTACGTAATCAGATTATTTTTTCAAGTAACTAGTAAAGTAACGCATTACTTTTTAATTTACAAGAGAATATCTGAGTTACTTTTTCAAATAAGTGACACAAGTTCCTTTTTTTTTTCCAATTTATTAATTGACAGCTCTCCTGTCCCCATGTTGAGAGAAATCAGAAGATGTTACTGTAGTTCTAAAATAAATATGAATATGCATTAATTCATCTCACTCACAAAAAAACAAACAGATTATGAATAAAAATAATGCAGCTCAGAATATGACGCAAACCTGCAATAATTAAATGTTAAACAACACAAATATCCTTTATGTATTTAATACCATTCTATTAACCAATGTCTTTGCTTCTGACCTTCGATGATCCAGTTCAACCATATTAATAAGCAAAAATTACTCTAGACAAACATTTATGTGTCTTTATTGCTTAATTGTGTTGAAATGTCTTCTTCTGCATTCTACTGTACGGACGTAAATGTACTTTCCCTTCAGCCTGAGGCTTATTCATTTCACTTTTGGTGTGAAAAGGCTTTTATATTTGCCAAAAATATAACTTTTTTTATTTTAAAAACAAACAAGCAAGCCCTGTCCAGATTTAAAAAGTAACGCAAAAGTAACGTAACGTAACGTAACACATTACTTTCCGTAAATAGTAACTAAGTAACGTAGTTAGTTACTTTTTTATGGAGTAACGCAATATTGTAATGCATTACTTTTAAAAGTAACTTTCCCCAACACTGTTCGTGAATAAAGCACCGCTTCCATCTTATGTGTTCAAGAGAACAAAATCTTCACTTCCTGGGAAAGAGATTGATTTCAACAAGAATCCATGCGACTGGAAGTTTAGTGCGGGGACAAAAATGTCCTCATGCAGATTTTGGTACGTTCAATTTGATCACACAAATTTTGACTGAGTTTAGTTTGAAAGTGACTTCTGTGTGACTTGTGCTTCATACATCGCTAAACTATTGACAACAGAAATGCCATAATTTCGCTGAGACCGCATTTCCATTGTGTTTTTTTTATGTAATATCCCATAATCAGCTAATGACTTCCAAGTCATTAGCTAATTTTACTTTACAGATGTAAAGCAAGTCTTACCACAGAAAGAGACGCCCACAGGCTGTTGCATCCTCTGCTCTGGTGTGGAGGGCACAGTTAGGGCGATGGCCAGCATGCTACCCAATGAGGTGCCCACCCACAGGCTGGGCACTGCCACAGTCTCACTCTTCTTGGACAGCCAGTCACAAAAATAGAAGGAGGAAATGACCTCACGTGACTCTCTGTCAATGCTGGTCACACTGGAGCTGCGTGAGCGGCTGAACGAGTTGTCCCTGGCGTCTGAGGACACAGTGACCCATCAGTGACAAAAACACAACAATAAGAGGACAATTAGCATGACCTTTTTCAAATCATGTCTGAACCACCTCAGGACACCTGAAATCAAAGGACAAAAATAGCTTAAGCATTAAGCAGTTAATATACTGATGATACATTCTTAGTAAATAAATAGTATTAATATAAACTTTGTTTCAGTGTAGTGTGTAATGTGTAAGACATACAGCAACTGCACGCAAAACGTTGCCATGAAATCACCATAACATTTCCATTCAATATGAAGAAAACTTGCAATCACCAATTACAGAACATTGTTATGCTGTTTTATTTTCACGCTCAGAGACCCAGATGCATTCAGATATCTTTCTGGCAAGCCTATAACACTAAATTTAGTATAAATGCACATTCTAAAAGCAATGCAAAGATGAGTCTCACCAAAACATGTCTGGCTCATGTTTTACTCCAAAAATCA